GGCAGCACGTGGCGCTGCACGGCCCTGCTGTGGGACTCTGCAGCGGCGGCTCCATCGCTGTCCCCAAAGGGTGGGAGCGCCGGGGGATATCTCTGAGTTTGGGGCTCGCCCGGGTGCAGGAGGCCCCGAGTTGAGGCAGGACCCGCAGGGTGATGTGTTTGCACAGAGCAAGCCAGGGCTGTCAGGAATTTTTTTAAAATTTCATTTAATTAATTGACTTGATCCCGGACAACAGCTGGGGACTTGATTCTGCCTGCGTCTGTTGGTGCCGTTGCGTCTGATCATGCCCGTCTCGTATGTGATGTCGGTTAAGTGTATCTCGGGTCAGAAGCCAGATCAGAATCCCCTTGGGTTTTCCCGTTTGCATTAAGCACAGTGGGTGGCGTAGCTTTTGCATTGTGTTTATCTGGTCTGTCACTTGATCCCGGACAACAGCTGGGGACTTGATTCTGCCTGCGTCTGTTGGTGCCGTTGCGTCTGATCATGCCCGTCTCGTATGTGATGTCGGTTAAGTGTATCTCGGGTCAGAAGCCAGATCAGAATCCCCTTGGGTTTTCCCGTTTGCATTAAGCACAGTGGGTGGCGTAGCTTTTGCATTGTGTTTATCTGGTCTGTCCCCCCTTCATATTCCCCCCCCCCCCCCACCGTGGTAACATTGCAACTAAACAATACATGTAGACACCCCGCACCGAGTTCACTGCATTGTGCTAATGTCACTTGCTGCCTGCTAGAGTTATTGTGCATAGGGCAGTGTATTCAAAGGGTTATTTGTCTTCCTACAACTCTTCCAGTGAGTTTATCATTAACATTGCGTATAAGGGGAGTAATAAAACACGACTCCCAGTACATTTAATTTCACATTTAAATAGTCGTCTATAGTATTATTCACAAGCCCTAAATAACTTTATTAGTGAAACATGAACTAGAATGATGACTAAGCACCATTCTGGCTCTGGCTAAAACAAAATTCTACAGAGGACTCATTGTTGATCATAGAGGTATTTATAAACTTTTTTAAACTAAAGTGTAACCTAGGTTATGTTTCTTGCATTACAGCAACAGTTTAACAATAGAGTTTAAAAACTGAAAGCACAAGTGAAGACTTTGTTTTATTGAGACCTGTTTAATGTAGGATTATCAAGAACTTAATTTCTTATAATTTCTCTCACCTTATCCAAAAATCAAATGCCTTAATCTGCTATACATTCTTTTTTCCTTGAGTCTAACTAGGCAGGACACTTTTTAGAAATTGAATTGAAAAAACCCTGCATCAAATTGTAATAAAGGGAGTCCAGATACTATTGGATGCCACAGATAACATGTCAGGCCAGTTCAGTACTCGAAGGTTATTTGGGATACAGGGGAGACTGACTGAGTTCCTAGTTAGAAATTTTTGGTTTTGACTGTAGTTTTTACTGTCCTTTCTCCACTAGGTCCCAATCTTGTCATGAAACAGCCACACTAGCCCTGCATTTTCCTACATACCCAAGATGTTACACACAGGCCTTCACCTGCTTGATTTCTTTTCCATTGCTTACCCTTGCTGATGTCTCCTGTAAAAAGGTCTGCTGCAATTTGGGGTATAATGCAGAGTTTAATGACAGTGGAAAGACAAAAAGCATATACAGGCAGTCCCCGGGTTACGTACAAGATAGGGACTGTAGGTTTGTTCTTAAGTTGAATCTGTATGTAAGTCGGAACTGGAATCCAGATTCAGCCGCTGCTGAAACTGACCGCTAGTTCTGACTTACATACAGATTCAACTTAAGAACAATTTGGGGTATAATGCAGAGTTTAATGACAGTGGAAAGACAAAAAGCATATACAGGCAGTCCCCGGGTTACGTACAAGATAGGGACTGTAGGTTTGTTCTTAAGTTGAATCTGTATGTAAGTCGGAACTGGAATCCAGATTCAGCCGCTGCTGAAACTGACCGCTAGTTCTGACTTACATACAGATTCAACTTAAGAACCCCAAGTCAGCTGCTGCT